TATTAAAATTTTGTAAACCGGTATGTTTTCAAGTAATAGCTGGTGACATAATTTTAAAGACTAGTCATATCGATAACAACCACTGTCTTAATGTGAAGATCATTGCTTTAAGGAAGTCACGACTTGGCTCTATATAAGGTCACACATTTGAATCATATAAGATGAGCCAACATAATGTAAAGGCTTTTCTTATCATTCAAATAAAGAGATATGTCCTCGTTACTGACGAAACTTATAACTCTTGTCTCATTTTAACTAATATCAGTACTTATTGCTGTAGTATAATTTAATAAAAGATAATAAATTGACTTGTTCCTACTAGGTTTTATTAACACACCATACGTGTACTCCTTTGCACATCGGAAGATACTCAGATAAACAAACTTAAGAAAGAATTTCATCAGACGTATATGAATCATGTTGGAATCTAAATATTTCAATGTAAATTCTTTCTCAGAATCTGAAAAAAAATCGGGCGCGACCAGTAGCTTCACCTTAGAGCATTACAGTTCGTTACAAGATGTCGAATAGAAATACCTTCTTCCTTTGGGTAGTCAGGTTAATGACGGAAATCCTGACCGAAATTCGTAATGGATGACATGCTTGAAAAGAAAAATGTGTTCCTGCAAGTTATATAGAAATCATAATGCGCATCTTGCAGTTACAAAAAATACTAACTTTTCCGTCCCTATATTCGTTGTGACGAACAAAATTCGATCCAAACATCTTTTGTTATTCATATCGATATGAAGAAAAGAAGACGTAGGGTGTTAAAAGAAGGTGTAGGGTGTTAGTTAATGAGACAACAACCCAACGACAAATATAACCAACAGACATCTATAGTTTCTTCTCTATCATCTCATATTTATATTACATTTTATTTCGATCGCCTCATTAAAACTTAGTTGTTCATTTGGGAGTAAAACACAAAACAATCAATCAATCATTTATTGATTTATTAGAAAACAGAAAGAGTTGTATTTTATTGCACTGACAGTTTGTGTTACAAATAGATAATACATCTTGTTTAAAATCTGAGGTTGAATATTGATTGTACCATGTTGATATTGACTTAATTGACTTAAATACATTGTGGTAATTCTATAGTGATTACAATGCTCTCCAAAAGAATGTAATTGATGACTAACATTCCTAAAACGTCAATACCAATAAAAAAAAAGACTCACTTTTTCCCGAAACGTTTCAAATCTTTTAATTCCCCAACTCGAAGTGGAGCTGGAAATGGGGAAAAAGCAGATGTCCGTCCGTCCATCCATCCCTCCGTTTGTCCCTTCGACATTGTAAATTTGAGGAAACAGAAATTTACCGATGTTGAAATATCATTTTGATGATACAAATGAAGGTGAAAAAAAAATGAGGGAATCATATGAACCCCAAAAAGAAGCCAGACCAGGTGCGTCGACAGCGTGAACATCTCCTTCTATGCACACACCACCCGCCATTAAAATCAATACTCCAAAGTCTTTAAATTTACATATTAGACGACTAGTACTTAAACAATATGCATGCTTGCTATTGAAATGAGACGAACATATCGTACCGGTCTTCCAATTTGTGATGTTGACCGTAAAACTTATGTAGAGTCAATTCCAGTGTTTCTTCTTCAGAACTCTGTTGGAGCAGTTTCTTGTGTTGAAAAAGTCCGTCGAGTGTGAACATGCACGAGCTTAACGGATAAATTAAGATATGTAAACACCATACGACGGATGAAGGAGTATGTTACTGGTGAGAAATTGGAAGTTTTTCATTGATCCTTCTCTTTCTGGGTCAATATGTATGCAAAGATCAAGATATGGTGCAAATTCACACTTTCAGTAGTATCCTTAATCTCAAGTTCACTGAGTGACAGAACATCGTCAATATATCTGAAAGTGAAAACAAGCCCGCCAGTAGGGGTGCACACAATCAGAACCCATTTGAATAACTGCCTGTTGAAATATTCATCCACAAAACTCAGCAGATATGTTTGTCGATTGCATATTTTACCATACGGCCACCATTTTGATGAATTCATCTTCGGTGTATTTGCTGTTGGCATCAGTGTTCTTCTCCACAAAGTAAGATTTTTCAAGACCTTAAACGAGGAATTTAAATCTACGAGTCTATTTTTTCTAGAATTTGTAGAATCTGTTTAACGAGACGATGTGATCGATCTTTCAATTGGCCATAGGGAAAGCATAGAAAAATCAGATGTTTTTATATTACTGCAAAATTAGAGATTGTGATTAAAGATGTAGGAGTAGATGTTTAGATTTTTTTTTTAAATTTTATAATACCTACTACCATTATTTCTGAAAACTATCTTATACTGTAAAAAGAATGGTAGCAAGAACTTCAGAAAGATGTAAAGTCGAGCATCTTGACGACTCGGGTATATCGTTCTTTATAGCGATTTTTGTGAAGTGTAGATATCAAGTATAAAGACGAGAGGTTGTTATGATCCTTTTTTATGTTTATACAAAAGGAGAGAAGGACGTATTTGTGAATTTCTAAAAATCTCATCTGTCGTGAAAGATGTACGGGTATATGTGGGATTCCAAGTTTTGCTGTGAATTCCAAGATCTTTAATCAGACATTCCAAATAGTGATTTTTGCTGGGGAATTCTATATTTCGGCTTTTCTGATGAAGGTTAATCCAAGAAATGGTGCATACAGTTTATAACAATTTTAGAAAGGTTTGTTATAAATCATGTCAGTACCAAAGTACTGACTACTGACCTGATAAAACCCTCGGGAGCTGATAGTCCACGAGTAGAGATATCGACCCAGTGCTGTAAAAATTAAAACAACACGTTAAAAATTTCATTCGTCCGAAAAGCTTGTATTTGTTTACCTCCATCAGGAACGCTCATAGCCGAATAATTGAAAGCCAAGGATGTATAAGAACCGAAACAGTTGAAGATCTATATGACCAAAAAGGACTTAAAAAAAACCCAGCCAAATCTATCGCAAGTCAATTTGGCCTGAGGAAATTGAAACCTTAGTTTCTTAATAATTTCAAAATTTATAAATGGACAATTTTAGAAAGGTAATTGTTTTTTTTTCTAATCACATTTTTGTTGGAAAAAATTGCTAACGTTATTAGCATCCAAACCCTTATTAGAGGATTCTACTTTTTTACGTTTTTCGTCATTTTTGAAGTAGTTGTAACGGGTTTGAATAGACTGTGGAAAGCAGTGTCATTATTGTAACAAATTTGTAGTTAGCAGAATTTATATCAAAAACGGAAATGGTTTGGGCCTCATGAAATAGTGATTAATGTTTGGTAATGGTGTAGGTCAAATGTAGTGTAGGTTTTTGAACAGAGGATAACAAACTATCCATAGACACCTTGCGAACTGCAGGTGGTATATATTTTCGGTGCCAGTGATTCCTACTTTCGCCGAACAAAGATGTTCAATAATTTTACTTTGTTGATATCACTACACCCTAAGTAATACCTACATCATCAGGTTTGTTGTTGCATCCTTAATAAATAGCTATTCCAATATTTCCAATCCAAAAAAGTTCTCCAGGTAAGCGATATGATGTTCTCAACATGGGGTTCATTTTAAAGATAGATTTTCCCTATAATACTGATATCCTTGAAACTTTAAATGTAAACTCTCACGCGCCTGCAGAGCACGTCAGATTTGAATATTATATAAACGGTGGTTTAATCCATCAATAATTCGGGTAAGTTCTTAAATCAAGCCAATTGGTTTTAAGGTGGAAATGAAAATAAGATGGAAAGCGAAATACCAAGCACTCTCGTTTCCAACATTTCTCAAGTTTATCAATAGTAACGTCAAAGGTTAACATCAGCAATATCAAGGAAGGTTCCAAAATCAAGCAGGGCTGATCATTTATCATGGGCGAGTATATGTCCATTTTGAAATGTAGATTATATAGATTAATTACCATATTGAACGTTGTGACGCTTACATCTCATGAGAGTTATATAAAATTTATATCTTAGGTAAACATCAGCAATATCTAGGATGAGTTTGAAAATCAGCGCTGATCGAATACGTGTGGGTATGTCCCTTTGAAATGTAATGATATTAAAAATGTACATGTTGTAAGTGCTCTTGTGCCTACATTTTGATTTACTAGTATGTCAAGGTTTAAATCAGCAAAATATCAGATGAGTTCGAAAAGTCGTGTTTTTGGAATATTTTTCTAGTCATGTCACTTGGAAAATGTAACTTCGATGGTAAGTCAAAATTGTAAGCCCTCTCGCATTTACATTACACATATGAGTTTAATAAAATTAATATCAAAGATTAACATCTTGAACGAATTTGAAAATCCTTATTTTCATGGGAGTTATGCCCCTCAGAGTATCAGTGAAAATTAGGGTGTATCGGCGGGTGACATTGGCTACTTTGTAAACAATCTTGTTATGTTAAGTTTATCGAAGTAAATCGTGTGTATTTGCTGCATTTGATATACATTTCCGGAGTAACCTTCAACAAGAAAGTTCAGAGGGAAAAGGCTTTGGAACAGCCTAATAGGAATAAATACGATATGGCAAACTAGATAGCCAACACAGATATTACTGAGAGAATAGGTAAACAAGGTAAACTTTAATGACTTCAATGAGATAAAGTTGTAAGAAAATAATCAAATCAAGGGGTTTACGGACAAATCAGGGAACTGAGATTGCAAAGGAACAAAAACAACTAACGAAAAGGGGTCGCTAAAATAAATTAATAAAGGCAGTCTACCAGCAATGTCAACTACCTACATTATTTTATGTTCATTGAGTATGCATATCTATAAGGAATCAAGCTCGATATAGATATAGAAAATAACAAAAAGAAATGTGACGGTAGTTTAACCATGTACCCAATTTGTTCCCCCTAGGCATATAAAAATGCGGCATTTGCAGGATGACATTTGATCTAAAATAGAGGTGAGAAATGCATCACAGAAAAATAATGTCGTGACTCAGAACCATTACAATCGAAGATTAAATATTTACTTTTCATTACATGTTTGCAGAAATCTGGATTGAAATACGGATTAAAAACCAGAAATATGACCATCTGTTCACTCGTCCATAAAATTGAACCGATGACTATTTGTAAGCTTCAACTATAAATACCGATATAGTATACCTATGGTATAATATTTCGTTTTGTCAACTTAAAGTACCCTGATTTACTGTTTTATGGATATACGACTTAATAACTGTTACAATGATAAGTTGTGAAGAAAAATAAACGTTTTGACAAATTACTGACATTATTACAATATTTAAGCCCAGGAACTAAATTTTAAAGATAAGAATTGAAGACAATATGTGCAGTTAGATATGATAATACTTCGGAGATTATAACAATTTCGATTAGGGAAGTGTGGATTCATTTTCCTTTGAGGTCACGATATGTTGACAGTAAAGCGTTCGACTAAGTGATGTAGATATGCAGGATTGGTGTGCGTTTACATTCTTTATTATATGTCTGCCATACACAAGATGTTTGCTACTTTCACCATGCCGATCGGAGCAAGATAGTCCGGTTAGTACAATTTAAATAATTACATATATATATATTTTTTGATTGTAAAACTATACTGGTACAACGGAGGCAAGCACCAGCGGAGTACCGAAACCTGCATCGTTACAATTATTACTATCAAAATATGATGTACAACAAGAAGTACATCTTTGAATCTGCCCGAAAAAAAATATAGAATGATTATACAAAAATAATTAGCGTGACTTTTTTAACACAAAACTAAATATATTTTGAGTCGTGTAATCTTGCGATTTGCAAATTATATGTTTTATGTATTATTTTCAATTGCAGAAATATGCTGTGAATTGTACTGCAACCAGATACGAAAGAGATAGTGAGTACAACCTGTCTGTTTAGAATTTTATTTGTGTGTGTTTTTTTTTCATTGTCCCGATTCTGCTTATTACAAAAGTTGTGAAAACGCTATAGGTTGAATATTAAAACAAATCCAAATTTGTATTATTCGTGAACTTGCTTTTTCAGCTGTATTTCCTTTGCCATTATATACATTTTTCAACAATCATGGCTGTACACAGGGAAATATAGCAACGTACGTTTTACTGGTGTTTGTTCTACGGAAAACGGACTTAAAAGTACCACGTATGGTAAGCTGGTCCACGACTGACTACTACACTTTGTTCATAGACTGCCGGTCAGAGCTGTTCTATTGTAGAATCTGATTAGTCAAGTGCAGTAGTCAGTCGAGGACCAGCTTACACGTATGGAAAACACACGTATAAAACCGGACGTTTAACGGATGAAAACGTAAATGTTATACGAACATTAAAAGTACGGAAGTGTTATGTAAAAAAAGCTTGATGACAAACAAAATCTTTTTAAACGATAGGAACACTAAAATAGGCATCCAATAATATCTGGTACTATAATATCTTAATTTGATACGTCTAATCTGCAATACGCGTATGTTTCACGCATGTTTTTGGGTGTTTACCACAAGCACTTGTCTCTGAAAAAAATCTTAAAAGAGAGGCGAAAGATACCAAAGGGACATCCATAGTCATAAATCATTAACGAACTGACATTGTCAAAACGAAAACGACCAAAAGACAAACAACAGTACATAAAAAATAACATAGAACACTAAAGATTGAGCAAAATGAACCCCACCAAAAACCGGGGGTGATCTCAGTTGCTGAGGAAGGGTAAGCAGATTCTGCTGCACACGTGACAACCTTTGTGTTGTTCATATAAGTGCATAACCAGTGATTAGTCTAATTCGGTAGGTCACAATCGAGTACGCAGCAACCCTCTATCATGGAAATCATGATGTGCAAAGCAACCTCTGGAATTCGTATCAACTGGGAGACATAACTCCATATGCATAGAAAATGAAAGTTGACAATTGGGAAACTGAAATCATCTTTTTTGTTGTTGAATTTTATTCTCAACCGACCCTCATTGTCAATTTATAGATGTAAGTCAAGTTATGAGGCAGACTGAACTATATCTGTTGTATCTTTTATTACAAGTTCGATGGGATAGATGCGTTCAACATAGTCAACAAACTTTTGATTGTTATTAATGAGAGGACATGTTCTATTAAGGTATATAGGTAATTTTTTTCAGAAACAAGTTAATAATATGTTAAACATCCGCATGATAACGTGAATTTTTCATCCGTGGTGCTAAATCAAACGAATGGAAATTAATTGTCATATTCCTTGCTTGGTAAGGAATTATCTGAAGAAAATAGCGGGTAAAATCTGTTTTTAAAAGCACTCAAACAAGCATAGATATCATTTTCCTATTTGCATGCGTTAATACACTGTATTATGCAGATATAGTTTGATAAGAAATCATAAATGCGTTAGGGTCTAATGTATAGTTGAATTCTACTATAATTTTCAAAACAAATAAGTTTCAACCGTTTCCCATCTAAAAGGTGCATATTGTTAATCTCGACTCATGTCTATGGCAAGCCGTTATTTATTCTAACTTCAAGATATCTAATAAACTTTATAAGATATCTCATATAGTTTATAAGATATCTTATATAGTTTATAAGATATCTCATTTAATTTATAAGATATCTCATATAATTTTGTTTCAAAGATATCTGATAAATTATATGAGATATCTTATAAACTATATGGGATATCTTATAAACTATATGAGATATCTTATAAACTTATATGAGATATCTTTTAAACTATATAAAATATTCTTTAAAATATAAGAGATATCTTATACAGTATATGAGATATGTTATAAACTTTATATCTTATATACTTTATAAGATATCTTATAAATTATATGAGATATCTTTTAAACTATATAAGATATCTTTTATACCATATAAGATATTTTTTTAAAATATATGAGATAGCTTATAAAGTATATAAAATATATTACATAGAAAATATTTATAAGATATCTTATATACTTTATAAGATATCTTCTAAACTTTAGAAGATATCTTATATCTTAAAAACTATATGAGATATCTTATGTAATATATAAGATATCTCTTTAAATATATAAGATATCTTATAAAAACTAGATTATATAAGATATCTTATATATCATATGAGATATCTTGAAGTTAAAATAAATAGTAAAACGGCTTGCCATACATGTCTGTTAGGGAAGTCTTTTCAAAATGGATGTACTAACTGTGAACATCGGTAATCTATAATGTTGCCTTTTACTAACAGAAAATTAGTTCAACATCAAGATCAGATGATAACATGCACCGTTTTCCTTGACCTGATTATGATACTAGTTAAAGGTCGAGCCTCGAACAGATGGGGCAAGTAGGGACAACACATTCAAGCTTGATACATCTCTGAATTTGAATTGTGATTAAATATTTGACATAGCATAGGTTTCTGACACAGATTGAATATGGTCTAAGAACTTATAAATTTGAAATTGGACGTTTACCTATTGTGATCCATTATCCAAATCTAAAAACATAGTTAGATTCAGCATATCAAAGTACCCCAAGAATTCAATTTCTGATGAAATCAAACTAAATTTAATTTTTGACCTATTGGATCTCAATGTGGATCAGTTTGTAAACGGGCCCATAATCCAAAATCTAACTACACGGTTAGATTCACCATACCAAAGAACCCCGTTTGTTGAAATCAAACAAAGTTTCTTTTTGGACCCCGGTTTGGACCAACTTGAACTAGGTCCAAAATCAAAAATCTAAATGCATTTTTAGATTCAGCATATTTAAGAACCCCAAGCATTCATTTTTTGTAATAATTAAACTAATTTTAATTTTTTACCCTTTTGGACCTTAATGGGGACCAATTTGAAAACCGGGCCCAAAATCAAAAATATAAACACACGGTTAGATTCGGCATATCAAAGAACCCCAAGAATTGTTTTTTTGTTGAAATCAAACAAGATTTAATTTTGGATCCTTTGGACCTTAATTGGAACCAATATGAAAACGTGACCCAAAATTAAAAAATCTAAATACTGTGGATTCATTTATTTTCGTGTGTATCAATTTTCGTGGATTGGGGAAAAGTTGCTATTTCGTGTATATTTGATTTCGTGGTTTTGACAAAGTCTGCATACAAGCATATATAAGATTTGTAATTTGTTGAACATTTAAATTCGTGGTTCACCTATACCTACGAATTCCACGAAAATTGGTATCCAACGAATAATGATGAATCCACAGTACACGGTTAGATGCGGCATATCAAAGAACTCCAATAATTCAATTTTTGATAAAATCATCAAAAACAGTTTAATTTTGGATACTCTGGGCCTCAATGTGGACCAATTTGAAAATGGGACCTAAAATCAAAATCCAAAATCTAAATACAGGGTTAGATTCTGCATATTAAAGAACCCCAGGAATTCAAGACTTAATTAAACCCCATTGAAATTGGTAAAGAAATAAGAAGTTAATACAAATCATTAGAAAAGTATTGTTTTGGGGTCCTTTTTGGCCTAAATTCATAAACGGTAAGGGTCATATCCCCTTAATCACTCCCAACCTTCCTGTTTTTGGTATAGGACCTTGTGGTACAATTTCATAGAGATCCATAGACTTATACTCAAGTTATTGTCCGGAAACCAAAAAATCCTTGGTTTTTTTGCCCCTTTTTGGCCCCTGATTTCCTAACGGATTGGGCCATATCCTACATACCAATTCTAATTTTTCTTTTGTGGTATGGAACCTTGTATAATTTCATAAAGACCCATTTACTTGTACTCAAGTTATCGTCCGGATACCAATTGTCTACGGACGACGACGACGACATCGCCATAGCATTATACGACCACAAATGTTTTGCGGTCGTATAAAAACCAATAAAACGAACACACTTACAGGAATGTGTTTATAACTATTGACAAAACAATCATCTATCAATGAAAATTTCATTGAAATATTAAAAAAGAATACTTTGATTTATAACGGCAATGTTTTTAAATGGGCTATTAATTTCGGGAACATTGTTTGCATTGAGATTAGGATGTAAGATGCCAACTTATTCATCGGTAATAAATTAGTCATATGTTAGCCTCTATCGGACTTTTTAACGTGAACGGTCGATAGGAAGTGATTACTTTCGTTCTGTTGTTTATTTGAGATTTAAGAGTATTACTATACTAAATACACACGGACTGCAACATCAGTCAATACATTTTATGTAGACCATATCAAACATTGTCTTTGTAGACTGCAGCGACTCATTTCTATCTGGACCGTATGAAGATCTTTATGGACAGGAATACTGGCCTGTTAAACCAGATGATCTGACCCTCAAACCCATACAACTAGAGTATAAAAATACAAACATATTTTATCCAGGATTTTTGGTAGTAATAAAACCTCCTCGTTCAGGTATGTAAAGATTAATTATATTTGATCGATGTACCCATGCTTATTTAAATGTTACATGTAAAACTACCAATTTAAGATTAATTATATTTGATATACCCATGCTTATCAAAATGTTACACGTAAAACTACCCTTTTTTATAAATTTTATGAATATTTTATGTATTGACAAATTTAATGTAAATATTGAGTATGCTTGCTATTGAGATGTCAACGTTACAAACAGAAAATTCCTTTCGCTAGATTTACCCTGAATTTTAATATTGAGTTTTGTTCTATTTTTTCTAGGCTTTATTCATGAGGTAAAAGGATTTCAGTTCAATTACGAAGAGTTAGATACGAACATAAGAAAATGTATCATCATCATTATCAACAATGCTACTATGGATCATAACCATAGAGATGTAAGTTTTTGAAACTGGTTATGGGTAAATGGTTAATGTAATGTATGTAAGGTAAGCGCTTGTACTCCACCTCCAAAAAATTCAAATATTAGTTATTAATAAATAACAATTTTCCTGGACGTATTTAGAAAAAAAAGACTCTATACAAATTGCTGTCTTTATAGAAATAGTATTCTTATGTGATTTTTAACAATTGATCGTTGTATTGTGGTCTTCACTCACGTAATTGTGTATAAACAGTTGAAGAAATATATTTTTTTTCATCCAATATTTGAATTACAGAATAACTTACGAATTGTTGTGAAACTGTGGCCAATGCTTGGCGAGATGAACTATCTGTTTAGGACATGGAGTCTTCCGAAACCCCCTGCGAATGAAAATGATACAAGTCTTATAAGATATGGTAGGACAGGGAAATTTAATATGAGTAAGTTTAATAAGACATTACTTATTCAATATGTTGGATGATATGAAAAAACACTTCAGCAAAATGTGAATTCAGTCAAGTCAGTTTTATAGTTATTAATAATGTTAATCGTTATATCGAAAGTATTAGCAATACTAGAAAAAAAAGAGTATAAACCATACACAAGTTAATAGATACAGTTTATATAGAAACTAATGTATATACAAACAGAAATGTCCAGAACATATTATCCTAAATTACATACGGATTTATAAAGTTTACAGGATAGTAGAAAGGACACTTTCAATAAATATATTTGTAAACAGAACTGTGACATAGTCTATTGGAATAAATTTGGTGGAGATTGATAAGTTCTTGAACGTCGTATGGGCGAAGTTTTAGTATAAGCATGAAAATAAACATACTTTACCTATTTCCCAAGGAACACGAATTGGGGGACACTGGAAACGATCCGAATCTTCATTGTAAAACAACTAAACTAAACTTATTAGTGCGATGACCATTATTTGTTTGTTGCCAAAGTGTAATCAGAGGGCACCTGGTAATATCCCTATTTGCTAGTCATGCAAAACATTTTAATATCTCAATGTTAAGCTTTTAGACCATAAACACGCCCCAAACAAGCTGAACATCTTTTGGTTCAGGGCTGATTTGTTTTCTAAAAAATATTCTGACATTAAAAATGCAAATCCGACTATTCGTCAGAAGTCTAACATTTTGTTCCTTCGAAGCGAACATTTTTATCATCCTAAAAATGAAGGGAACCCAAGGTGTTTTAAAATAAGTTACTAACGACAAAAACAACTGTAAATATTTCATATGCATGGTTTAAATAAGATGTTAATTTTAAAAGAATAAACCAACGATTTGTAGATAAAAATCAAGTGTGGACATAGAATTAGTAAAACGATCAACCATACGGAAAAGACTGTTTATACAAAGATGTACAAAACAACTAGATTAAGTCGTGCATCAAACGTGACAACACATTAATTGTAAACCTAAAACATATGGGATACCACCCGGAATATTTGATTATCAGCTGTAGATAATTTAGTAGAAAAAAAATTAAAACAAATAATTCATTTGGACAGAAAAGAGTCAGATCGGTTTAGATATAAGGAGTTTTATGTAACCTGCTCGAGACTCAAAGAGTCGAATTTGTTTAATTACCGTACCTGAAAGAAGAAAATACTGCCAATAAAAGAATATCAAGACTTAAAACATAATCATTTCAAAGGGAAAATAAAATGTACCAATTTGAATTCTCGTTTTGAAGGGTTGACAGACGCACACTCAGACTGGTTAACAACAATTTCATACCACAATGATATGAAATATAAATACATCAGGATCTGGTTTGTTACGGCACCAGTGGAATATCGTTTTTTAGAATATACTGTCAGATTAGAAATAATCAGATCCGGAGAAGGAACATCCTTTGAAGACAGAGATGTAGTGGAACAGAACAAGATTTCACAGGTACTCCATGCAAAATGTAGCCGCCATTCACGTTAATTTAAGAAGATAACTGTATATGCAGTATTTTTTTTTTACATTCGATTTAATTAAGATTCTGCTCTACAATTTACTTGCAAGATTTTTGTATGAAAATTTCTTAGAAACCTCTGAAAAAATGTCTTGAAAATTTTTATCGGGTTAACCTTTATGATTAACATTTAGAGCCCCAAAACAAGAACAGTGTTTAAAAGTGTAATATAATGCTTTAACAGCAATGGGTTTATACCGCTACTGGTGGACTATCAGTCCCCGTGGTCATTCATCAGCTATGTAGTCAGTACTTCAGTAATTAAATGATTAATAACAAACCTTTCTTCAATTGTTCGTTTATAAATTGAGAAATTATTAAGAAACTAAGAGATTTCAATCCGTCAGGGAAAGTTGACTTTAGATTTATTCGGCTGTTATCTGTAGGACCACATTGGCCATATAGCTCTTCAACTGTTCGGTTAGGTATAGGTAAATCCAGAAACGCGCTTCGGACGCATGCTATTGATAGATCGTTCGTTTTATTTATTACATCACTGGTTCGATAGTACTAGTGGACTATAAATCCCCGAGGGTATCATCAGCTCAGTAGTTAGTAATTCGGTACTGATATAGTTAGAGCTGTTTTCATAATGCTTGTAGTTTAAAGGTTTGGTTGGCTTTCTTGCTTTGTTTGTATAAATGTATGCTCAAGCATTGTAATAAAACTTGACATCTGCAATCAATAGATAGGCGGGGATTCAGCTTGTATACATTATACTTACATGTTATTGGATGTTAAGTATAATGCAGAGTATAATGTATACAAGCTGAAGTCCCGCCTGTCTATTGATTGCAGATGTCAATCTTAATTACAATGCTTGAGCAAACATAAATATAATGTACAAATTCGACCTTGAGCGTTCCTATTGAAGGTAAATCCAGAAAAGCAATTCGGACGCATGCAAATTATAAATTGTTGTTTTATATTTTCCAGCACTGCGTCGATATCGCTGCTGGTGGACTATCAGTCCCCGAGGGTAGCATCAGCTCAGTTGTCAGACCTTTGGTATTGACATGATTAATGACAAACCTTTTTTTGTTGAATTGCCTGATTATAAATTTGGAAATTATAAAGAAACTAAGGTTTAAAATCCCTTAGGCAAAGTTAACTTTTGTTAGATTTGGCTATTATTTTAAATCCTTTTTGGCCATATAGTTTTTCAATACAATATTAACTTGCACGAATGATACATTCTTTTGCAGACAAATTATACTTTTATGAACGTTCAACCTGGAAGATACAGGACTTTGGTAAGTTTGACACTAAACACGAAATCAACATTTCATTTCGAAAGAAACTACACTTAAAGGTATCGGTAATACAGTAATATACGTTGTTTATTTAATAATAATAGATATAGGATACGAGGGAAAATGATAAAAACATATTTAATAGCAACAAAAAACATATTTAAACACAACAATAAACTCATGTCAGTATGCCCAAAACTGTCACAGGAGATTCGGGCCTGACCCCCCTGTTTTATTTATATTTTTGTTAATAAGATTGAATTAAAAAAATGTAAAAAAAAATATTCTGGATAACAGAGTGATTGTAGATAGAAATCTCTAATAATAACGAAAAGGTAAGTCATTTTTATTTGATAAATGTCCTATTCTATGTAATTGAGTGGTACAAATCAAATTTGTTGTTATCATGAACAACATGACGGGTGCCACTAGTGGAACAGGATATGCTTATCCTTTTGGAGCACCTGAGAAAATCCCAAGCTTTTGGTAGTGTTCGTATTGCTCAATCTTTAGTTTTTTTTTGTAATGTTTTGTGGACTCTCTTGTCTATAAGTCTTCGTTTTTTTTTGGCTTTATCAGTTTCTCGAATGAACTTTAAATGTCTCCATTGTATCTTTCGCCTCTTTTTGATGGACATATAATGTATGAAATGTGCCGAAGTTGAGCAGTTGTCCGATATCTAGATGTTCGATCATCCTGCATTATAGGAAATAAGAATAGCGGGGTATAGCACATATAAACACCTGTAATATTGAATGGATAAAAGCAATCACACAATAAATAAGGGAAAATAAGATGAAATATTAAAGAAAACTTAATAAAATTTCGTAACCACCAAAATCGTGTAAAAAAGGGAGTCCATGCCTAGAGCATTTGAAAAATGTTGTAACATAACTTTTGGTACAATTAAATTTCTCATTTTAGATCGGAAATTAACAATCAAATAAACATAGAATTTAACATTAAGCAATATTGTTTTGTTTCATCAAAGCTAAATGAAAATGTAGGGCAATGCAAACTCATTTGAAACGCTAGTATAGATAGTATTCCATTTAAACATAAACTCTAAGCAAATATTGATGAGAGCTTTTTTCAGGTACAGCCATATGATGACAAATTTGGCTCACTGAATGATTGTAAATGCAAAACCAAGGCAGATGCATGTGTACAGTGTATAGCAACTAGAACAGATGTTATAGTTGTCCCAGGAGGTACGGGTATTGCAGTATTAAAAAAAAAATTGTTCTATGAAATATTTCCATCGTGAATTTTTTTCTGGATTTGAATCTCGGCTTATTAATGCATAGCAAGAGACGTTTATCATAAACATTGATTCGGTCTCTCTACTTTTGGAGTTGATACAATTCCCTCATTTTTTAGTCCCCTACCGACGAAGTTGAAGGGGACTTTAGGTTTGTACTCCGTCCGTCTGTCTGTCTATCTGTCTGTCCATCCGTCAGTCCGGAAATCAGTTTTCCAAACTTTTTTTGTCATGCTTAAAGATATTGATTTGATAATTGGTATATAGTTTTATCATAACAAGTTACAGATCAAATTCGAATTTTGTTCTGGTCTGATGATTTTGTGCAGAGTAATGGTCCTTGGACTTAGTAAATTCACTTAAATGATCAGTTTTCCACACTTTTTTTTTGTCTTGCTTGAAGATATTGACTTGATAATTGTTATATAGTTTACACCATGACAAGTTATAGATCAAGTTAGCATTTTGTTCCAGTACAATGAATTTTTAACCGTAGAGGACTATGTATTGCCATGCAATACTCTCAGAATGCTTGTTTCATTTAATTTGTAGATTCAAAATATATTTAAAAGATTTGAATATCGGTAATTTGCTGTTACCTCTTATTCACATTAAATGAAAAAGAATACTCGCGACAACAGAAATCAATTGTTCAAACGCAAAATTCTGCATAGTTTTTTTTTATATAATTATTTTGCAGACTTTCCAACAATAACATCAACACGACACACTTCAACAGATGCTCCAACAACATTGAATGCTACGCCCGAAACAAGTCGAACAGTATCTGCAGGAAACTCTGATCAGGCAACAAACAAACAAATTCTATCCAGTGTTTTAAGTTTTGTTGCCTTCATTGTCGTCATTGTTATTGTAGTTGTATGCTACAAACTTTACAGGGAAAGAGGTATATAGATAGACAGATAATAATAATGGCTGATTGTTAATCTTCCCAATACCTTTCGGGAAGAAAGTTCCTTTTAAATGACAACAACACTTTATAAAGTTCGTGCGTACGAAGCGGTATTCTCGATTTACCTTCATCAAGAATTTTCAAATCTAAGCATATGTAAGCAAGGAATGTGTAAATAGGTCGAAGCGTTAGGAGCTATATGAAAATTCATCTAAGGTCAAAGTTTTAGCTGACGTTAGATATATAGAATTTACATTGTCATTTCCATATATTTAAACATGAATGGTTTTCGATATTTTGATTTTTTGTCACCGCAGTAAATGTCAAAATAAGCAATTCAAACACCTCATATTGGAATAATACCCATATGGTGTATTCTATCATAACGTCGAGCAGGAATCAGACATTGAAATACACGGTCGAATTATGTTAGTACACACATATGAACAGGACTAAAAATTAGATTCTACACATAACAGAGACAATGGAAAACGTTATATTTTGAGTTTAAATTCCTATTCACTAGTTATATTTTTTTGTTTAATTGTTGTATAATAATAAAACATTTGTAGTTTTAGGGACCAAAAATGATAAATTTCATATACCAAGAGACAACATTCAAATAAAAGGTAAAGAATTGTCAATTATGTTATTATCGATCGTCTCTATGTAGCGACGTTTTTTTTTCAATTGTCCAAGCTATTTTTATGACTCTCTGGTCTTATATTTATTTTGCTGTACATTTATTTTATTTTTTCCATGTCTATATAAAAAAAAAACAATTGTATTCACACTGATTTTGTTAGAAATATACATCAATTAAACATTGCAGATGATCGAGTAGTGATAATGACAAATTCATAATAGTGTGTTTTAAATTATTGTTGGGTTGTTGTTTCCTTGGTTTAGACCCCACTTTTTTGTTTTGTTTTTGTTTGAAGAAATAAACTGACTGATCATGCAACAATATACTTGACGTCATATAAAAGTTCAGTAGACATCCACAATATGAAAACAAGGAGATTTGGTATGATTGCCAAATAGACAACTATCCACTAAACACCAAAGGAAGTGGATGTAGGAAACTATAGGTCACCGCACGTCCTTCATAAATAAGCAAGACCCGAACCATAAAGTAAGCTAAAAATGCCCCCTCATGATGTGAAACAATTCGAACGAGAAAACCAACAGCCTGATTTATGCTCAACTAACAAACAAAAAATAAATATGACACACAGCAACCAACGACAACCACTGAATTACCGGATCTTGACTTAGAACAAGTACCTAAGAAATTCAGCGGAGTTAAACATGTATTTGAGCGCTATATGCACACCTAACCTGGGACAGTGGTATTCAGTACAACATAAGAACAAACTGTAAAAGTGAGTTTGAAAGGACTTGACTTATCAGATCGGCACGAAGCACCAAAAAAAAAATAACAAAAAGAACCGATATGAGAGAGTTCGCTGTTACTGAAAGCTAGTTTAAGTTAACTACAACCAATGAATAAATCATTGTCTCCCATATTTAGATATCAAACAATACCTAGTCAACATTTTAAGTGTAAAGACGTCAAAACATAAGTTAATTGACCACGTATAACGCTTAAATGAAACAACACGGGGAGTAAGCATTCAAGGGAACATAGTCGTTTAAGACTTTATATTTATTATTTTACAAGTAGAACATTTCAGGGAAAATCGTGTCACAATTGACCTCTTCATCGGAAGACTAAGAAATCTCGGAAATCCTCGGATAAGATTTCCTATCATCTCAGACCTTGCCAGGGAATCTTGCCCGCTGGTGTCTGTGATTTCCCGGTGTTACTCCCATTGCGGTGTTAGATTGTTGGAATTCCTTCATCGTCTGAAAACTTTAATCAACATTTTTATCTATTATTTTTAGTTTGTTCTAGAACAATGGGAATTGTTACTACAGATGATGATAACAAACATGACAAATTGGTCAATACATTTGCAACATTTCTACACGAAGCGTGTCAACTAAACATATTATTTCATCCCTGGACCCCGAACGAAAACAAAGACCTTTGGATTAGTAATACTTTAGACAAGGCAGATTATATTGTATTTGTGCTATCTGAATCAGCAGTCAACCAGTATACGTCATGGACAGAGGAAGGTTATCAAGATTGTCGGACCTTTTTTATGACAATGCTCAAAACTGCTTTAAATCGGTCTATTCAAAATCCGCATATTTCGAACAAGTTCATCATTGTTACATTCGAAAATCCACAATATTTACAAATTCCACGAGACCTTAATAATATGAAACAATTCTTGCTAACAAAGCAGCTTAAAGATTTTCTCGATCATATACAAGAAGAGCTTCCCACTGATCAAAATCCGGAAATTATAAGTGAATATTTGAATTTCAATTCAGATAACGCTGTGCGAAATTATCAGTGGTTGACCTCTGTTGATAGTGGTTTTCAGGATGAAACAACAACGCCAAAAGGATCAGTAAGATCATGTAAGACACTAGATAGAAATGACTACATGAATACTTCAGACATATATTTTATTCCGCCGAAATTAACGGAAGTTCAAAGCGAGGATATCGATATCAGTGACCTACAGGTTCAAATTTATGATTTCAATTATAAAAATCTGCATGGTTCCACTAATATAAGTCATATCTGCATTGATGGAGATTACCATGAAAAATTACATTATAATAATTTACAACATTTAAAAAGTCAGAATAATAATATGGTGAGTCAGTACAGTTACCATGCAGATAAAGTAGACTATAATACGAATGATCCTCATAGTCAACTAAATGACTGTTTTTATCAGAGTTGCAAAAACAGATCTAATATCAATATACCAAAACTCTGTGAAAATTCTGATAATTCTGATGGTATAAGTGTCTGAAATACTTTTTTAGACGTTACTTGGATTTTATGTAATAAGAAAAAGACTTTCTGAGGTGAAAGTTCACTTAGTTGGGTGCCAGTTTCAGAAATTTGATAGATTCCTTATATTCTATGTTCAAAATAACTTTTTGTTTGTCTTTTCGTCGTTTCACGTTTTTTTGCCATGGTTTGGTCTCCCTTCGACTTATGATTTGGGGTCCTCCGTGGTCTTCCGTATCTTTTTTAATGATATTTTGCAGAATAATACGAGTTCATTATTACAGATTCACCATAATACCGTCATTAAATGAATAATATTGAACTGATCTGAAAATCTCTAAAATCATTTCATTTTTTTCGACAGTTTTCCTCTATTATCCTCTTTGCATGACAAATATGTCGTTGTTCCAGCAGATAAAGCCTCCAATAATATTGTCGTCATATGTAAAAACCATTATTTGCAATGTCTCACAACAGAGCTTGGAATAAATAGAACTACTGGTAACCCTACATATTCTTTAACATCATTTACCAAGGACGAATTTTTACAAAATCACAAATCTGTCCTTCTTTCTTTTGGTATCAACATCAAAGAAAACGAAGAAAATTTACCATCATTATACTGGATACCAAAACTACACAAAACTCCATATAAAGAACGATACATAGCTGGGTCATCAAAATGTTTTACTAAAGTACTGACTACTATTCTTTCTACAGTTAAAGATGGGCTTCAAAAATATTGTGATAAGATATACTCTACCAGTAGTGTTAACCAGATGTGGATTCTCAAAAATTCGAAAGATCTACTGCTTAATCTTCGATCACAATCTTTGCAATTTTGCAGCAACATAAAGACTTTTGATTTTTCTACGCTTTACACTACTATTCCCCATGCTCAGTTGAAAGATCAACTTCACCATCTCATTAAACAGAGCTTTTTCTATAAAAATGGGAATCGTAGATACAAATTTCTTGTTTTGGGTTACAATAATTCATATTTTGTGAGAAACCACACTGCATCTACCAGAAAATATACTGAAGATGATATTATCAAAATGCTGGACTTTTTGATCGACAATATATTTGTTGAGTTTGGAGGATTTATATTTCAACAGACAGTCGGTATTCCAATGGGAACTAATTGTGCACCCCTACTGGCCGATTTGTTTTTGTACTCGTATGAAGCAGAATTCATTCAGAACCTTCTAAAAGACAAAAAGAAAAAAACACCTTGCGAAATTCTTTAATTTTACTTTCCGATATATATGATGTTCTATCATTGAATAACCCATATTTCAGCCAATACTTACATCTCATATATCCCAGTGAACTTGAAATTAAGGATACTACTGATACTAGAAGGACTGCTTCATACCTTGATCTTTTCCTCAATATTGACACAGATGGACGACTTCACACGAAAATCTATGATAAACGGGACGATTTCAACTTCCCAATTATCAATTTCCCATTTCTCAGCAGTAACATACCCTCTGCCCCTTCGTATGGTGTTTACATATCTCAATTGATACGTTATTCTCATGCTTGTTCACACTATACAGACTTCATATACAGGAGTGTGCTCCTTACACAGAAACTGCTCCAACAAAGTTATGAGGAGGACAGAATAAAAATGACACTCCGTAAATTTTAAAGGACACCATCACGAATTGGTTAGTCCATACGATGTGTCTTTGTCCAAACCAACTAAGGACATTTTTACCACGTGTTAGATTGTGGTTTGTCATTACGTCGTCTGATCTTTTAATTACCGAACGTGACTTATTCCCGATTGTGACTGTTTTGCTAAGTGTGAAACCGCATTGCTATAAGACGTGTCACGGTACCTTTCTATCCCAAATTCATGTATTTAATTTTTATGTTATATTTGTTATTCTCGTCGGATTTTGTCAAATGTCTTAACGTCTTTTCTGTTATATTCGTGTGTTATGGTAAAGATAATTAATCACCCCCTTCATTTATTAGATTTTAGCTTGGTTCAACGAAATTTATACGATATATTTGGTTTACAGTTTGATTCAGAAGAAACACCGACATAGCTAGATAATACAGTTAATTATCTAATTACTACCACTATTTGATATTAATAAGTATTGTAATTTTCATAGTTATTAATAAGTGTAATGTCAGTATTACAAATCTAATCTTGAATCAATCCTAATCCTATCTTATTTTTGGGAAATATTTTTACAAATTCAAATGTGACGTCACTTTGTGTGGTTTTTTTTTTAGAATTTCTAATGTAACGTCACTTTGTGCGTTGATGCTTTGGCTAACTCGGCTGTGTATTTTTATTGGTTTTGTTGGATTAAGTTGTTTTATGTAATGTATCCGTTTTTATTCTGTAGTTAGTCCCCACTTCGGTTTTATCATGTATATCTATTATATAGTCATTTAATTTATAAAATTTACTGTTTGCAAAATTATAAATTATTCTAAATAATAAGGATGTTCTTGTCCCAGGCAGAAAACCCTGGCCGTGTTAGGCGCAACTTTTTGAAAGTTTTGGTCCTCGGTGCTCTTCGGCTTTGTACTTGTTTTGGCTTTCAAGCTTTTTTCATCTGAGCGTCACTGGATGGTCTTGTGTGGACGAGACGCACGTCTGGCGTATTGAATTTTAAGCCTAGTACCTTTTGTTAGCTATTATTCGTGTGTTTCTTTTACGGTCCTATATGTTCTCCCATTTATTTGTATTGTGGTCCTGTCATGTGATGTTGTCGTTTTGGTGTTGTGTTTGACGTTGCCATTAAAGCGGGAGGTTTGGCATGCCACAAAACCAGGTTCAATCCACCATTTTCTTCTTAAAATGTCCTGTACCAAGTCAGGAAAATGGCCATTGTTATATTATAGTTCGTTTCTGTGTGTGTTACATTTTTAATGTTGTGTTTTTGTTGTGTCGTTGTTCTCCTCTTATATTTGATGCGTTTCCCTCAGTTTTAGTTTGTAACCCGGATTTGTTTTTATCTCTATCGATTTATGAGTTTCGAACAGCGGTATACTACTGTTGCCTTTATTCCAACATAGATTGATGATCTTCATTTGAATAAATTCCCCACGAAACTATCAAGATTATACAGACATCAATTTATAGTGTATTTTTTATTCACATCACTCTTAAAGATCTTCAGCGCCAGAATTTTTCGTTGTATTTCAAATAATTTGTAAATATTCTTTGAACTTTAAATATTAAAAAGGAAGCATTAGGTGCACATTTTACCAACAAACAAAGCAAAAAATAATAGTGACATATTTAATAGACAAGATATTATCATCAACAAAGCATAGCGTTATAAAATGGAGGAAATAAAAAAAAATCCCATGCAGGGTCGTCATATTTAAAGAAATTTGACCTAGTAGTGTAATCAGATTTTTCGACAAGTTGAAATATACTCCATCATCCTCGTATTATTTCATGGCACATTTGTCATTTCAAGGTTTGCGATAATACTCAATGGTATACCCAATGTTATAGTATATGAAGAGACAATATCTACACCGTGTTTTCACAAGTGTACGGTAAGGTCATAGAATTTGCACAATTGTTAGAGGACCACCTTGTCAAATATACTTGATACATTGAACGACTATGATTATATTACAATTCATTGAAGAGTCCTGATAAATCGTCTCAGACCAAAATGGCAGTGGCAGATCAATATCTGTTAACTAAATGTGATTATCTTCAGGTTCAGACTTTAAGATCATGTAAAATATTATTATGCTCTATATATAAAAAAAAATCGTAAGGGTTCCGTGGAACCCAGTGTCTCGTCTACTTTTGCTGTTAGTCGCAGGCTCAACAAAAATGGGGAAATTATTATTAAATTTTCCTCTAGATACTATCTTTTGATTGTAAGAAGCTTCTGTTCAAGTTTGGTAAGAATCCAGGATGGTTTATGAATCTAATAAATGTTTTAAAAACTTAAACTGCAGACTGTATGTAATGTTAACTGGAAGAAAAACTAAGTCCATTTATAAGTAATATACGGAAAAACAGGAAAATGTTTTTTTACAAAATGTCCTTCTAGATACTAGCTTTTCATCATAAACAAGCTTCTGTACAAGTTTGGTACAAATCCAGGATAGTTTAAGAAAGTTATTAGAATTTTGAAAATTTTAACCACAGAGTGAATGTAACATTAACTGGCAGAAAAACTAAGTCCATTTATAAGTAAAATATGGATAAACAGGATTTTTTTTTCAACAAAATTTACTTTTGAATACTATCTCATGATCATAAACAAGCTTCTGTCCAAGTTTGGTAGAAATCCAGGGTAGTTTAAGAAAGTTATTAAAATTTGAAAACTTTAACCACAGAGTGAATATTTGTGGACGCCGCCGACGACGACGGACGACGACGACGACGGAATGTAGGATCGATGTGTCTCGCCTTTGCGACAAAAGTCGCAGGCTCGACAAAAATCATTATAGATACAACGTTTAAAATTTTGTAAGCCAGACGTACGTTTCGTGTACAAAAGATTCAACAGTGACGCTCAAATCAAAAAAGTTTAAAAGGCCAAATAAAGTACGAAGTTGAAGAGCATTGCGGCCTAAAATTCCGATAGGTTTTTCCAAATCCAGCTATAGTAATGTATACCTGGGTAGAAAATCCTTGGTATGTCAAAAAATTAAAGTTTTAAAAACAGCTATTTTATAATCATGACCATATCAATGATAACTCATGTCAACACATAAGTGCTGACTACTGGGCTGGTGATTTCCTCGTGGAAGAAACCTCCAACAGCAGTGGCATTGACCCATATATGTTTAAATTATGCAAATCACATCAACCCGTATTTGTCTTTCCAGTCCACTTTGCATTCACTTTACAAACGTTTCAAAAATGGTGTAATGAATACTATAAGAGTAACAGACACTTAACCCGGATAAAAGGAGTTCAGTCAAAGTTTGTTATTGGATTTCAAAAGTTTATAGCAAAAATAAAGCTACATCACGCAAAAAAGTCTCGATCACTGTCAATATTTAGGGAAGAGTAAGTGAAATTCCCCGAGACCAGGAATATGAAACCTACCACCAGCATAGCCTGAATTTTGTTATTGTGTCATGAAAATTTTGCTATGTCTATGATAATGTGTTATCAAAAAGGAAATTTGAATTCTTTCTTATTTTG